ATCTTTCAGCGCGAAGCTGTCAAATATGATTTTTAACAAACTGTTAAATATGATTTTTAACAATCGACTTATGTGTTTTTCGCATAGTGTCATGGGAAATAATAAGTTATTAATAAGTTTGAAATTTTCACAGCGTTAATTCTGATTGATTAGGTATCAAAATTATTAATTGCGGTACGTTAAGATGAACATATGATTTTTAACAAAGTGACATATGACACTTTTTTGCCGGCTCATGTATTTTTCGCAAAACGTCATGGGAAATAATAATTTAATAATAAGTTTGAAATTTTCATAGCGTGAATTCTGATTGATTAGGTATCAAAATTATTAATTATGATACGTTAAGGTGAGCATATGATTTTTAACAAAGTGACATATGACATTTTTTGCCGGCTCATGTATTTTTCGCAAAACGTCATGGAAAATAATAATTTACTAATAAGTTTGAAATGTTCACAACGTGAATTCTGATTGATTAGATATCAAAATTATTAATTGCGGTACGTTAAGATGAGCATATGATTTTTAACAAAGTGACATATGACACTTTTTTACCAGGTCATGTATTTTTCGCATAGTGTCGTGGGAAATAATAATTTAATAATAAGTTTGAAATTTTCACAGCGTGAATTCTGATTGATTAGATATCAAAATTATGAATTGCCGTACGTTAAGATGAGTATTTTATGAAATTATACGCTAATTAATTGAAATGGTTCCTGCATATTAACCTATTTTTGTAATTACGTCTACAAGCGCGAACCGCTGCAGCGATCAATTAGCATATTAAACTGATATGCAAAATAATGTAACAACGTCAATGAAACGAATGATGAAACGCAATCTACTTGGTTATAATTGCTAATTGAAATTAATTACCGCGAATAATGGTTCTTGATGATCGAGTGATTCTATTTTTAAAAAATGTAACCCATTTTCTTCGCGAAAGGTTGCCTCTTCCGGCAACGATTATCGCAAAGGAAAAGGGGGTAAATAATGAAAAATTGAACCGTCTATGTAAATCGCAGGCGATTCACAGGCAATTATCGTTTCGCGTGCAGAATACACGAAGAGCGTAACGTCGTTTTAAGTTCATTACGCGTGCGAAATACCCCACGATGCAAGAGCCCGTTCCTTTCCGATTATTATTCCGTTTCGCGTTCAGCGGAAATGACGAGGGGAGGTAAGCGCGGTACATCGAGAGCGACGCTCTAATTAAAAAGACGAATGATTGATAGATAGCGCGGGTTACAGGCCAGCGAGGCGCCATAGATTCAGTGCAATCGAAAAAAACGATCGTAGCGTAACACTTTCAATTTTCTCCAGAGACCAAATCTCTTCATCTCCGACCAATTCAATTTAGATATATGATCGCGATGAATATATGACGTCATTAAGCGACTGATCGATAAATTGCAATTGGCCTAATTACGCTTCGTCGATATATCTCACGAAATCCTCTGCGAGGACCCAAAAGGAGACTCGCAAAAAATGTTCGCCTCCTCGATGGAGAAGGTGCTAATTAAATTTTCCCGTTTAAATGTAGCCTTTTAGAGGCGGATGCTGGTCGCTACAAGATGCAATTTACAACGTTATGTAATAATAATATAATTATTGTATAAATTATACAATTATTATATAATTATTATATAATTATTATTTATTATTATATTATTTATATTTATTTATTATATTTATTATTATATTTATTATAATTATATATTTATATATATATTTAATTATATATATTTATTTAAATATATATTTAATTATTAATTTAATTATGTATATTTAATTATATATTATTATATATTTAATATTTATTATTATTATATATTTATTTATTATTACATAATAATTATATAATAATTGTATTATTATTACATAACGTTATATAATAATAATACAATTATTATAATTATTATATTATTATATAGCGTTATATAATTGATAAATAACGCATTAACTCTGCGATCGAAGGGATTCTGGTATAACTCAAGACGCGCCTCGGATGCGTTTCCCCCGACATTCGACCGGAACGCGCGGCGACCGCGCCCTCCGACACCGATGCCATCCTTAACTGTACATGCGGTCCGATTTTATAATTCGTTATATATTATACACGATCCGGTATGGAACGAGCGCCGTAAATCCCGTGTGCTGTTGACCCGAGGCGCGCTGGACCGAGACCGGCGGCTGCGGCGGCTCGCGGACCCGCACGGACGGCAGATATTCTCGGACGGTCAACCGGAAGTAATTAAGGTTTCGACAGAGAATCTCCTTGCGGATAAACGCTACGTGGCATGGCCAAAAAGAGCGACGCCGAGCGAGAGAGAGAGAGAGAGAGAGAGAGACCTTCGTCGGGAAATTAACGTTACATCTCCCTCTCCCTCCTTCTCTTAAATATCACCTCGATATGGCCTCGACGGATCTCGGTGCCCCGTTAACGATTTAATATACCGCCTCGCATCCTTCGATACTATAATATCCCGCGGTACGATGCGGGTATCCTGGCGGTGTGTAGGCAGCCGCAACCCTTCGCCTCTCGTAATTTTATCCCGGCTTTCGACAACTTCCGCGCGACCCGGACGATTATACCTGGCTGGCTGCAAAACCTTGCGCTGATCGGGAAGTACTTTTGACGTATCGCGTTCGCAAAAACGTATATTCCGCGCGATATAATGAGTAATCCCCGAGATTGTTTGACGTGTAACCCAGTCTAAGAATATCCCGCGCCGACTTGCGTAATGCCTTTCATAAAGGCCCCCACGTCGCGAGATTAGCTCGCCGCGTGATTCTCCATCGGATCGGATCGATCTTATCGCGCATTTAAACGTTTCCGCGATAAGCCGGGCGCGCGTCTTCTCTTTGGCGAGCGTTCAATTATTTAATCGACTTCCCATGTTCAATGGACAGCAATATCCTGGGGTATTCGAGCGCGCGATCGTCGAAAGAGAGATCCCGCGGTGAGAGATAACTCGGTTATAATTCCGTACCGTGTCTGTAAAAACGGACGCGTATGACTCACTTCCTCTGTTCTCCTAGGCAGGTACATTTATTTTTTGCCGCCAACTTTATTTCCTCTTCTACATCGTGCGTTATATACATACAGGGTGTTTAGTGAGTGCGACAAATTTTACGAGATGATTCTTTGTCGAAAATTAAGAGGGCTTTTTCGTACAAACATATACTCCTACATTCCCCCCTGTGGAGTTGTACTACTCCAAAAATGGGGATAAAAATTAGTTTTTATTTTTTTTCTCAAATTTGGAACAAGTTAAAGAAATGAAATTAGGTGGATATTTTCTACCCATAAGAAGGTTATTTATTAATATTCTCTTCAACCTCTCGTATTGTAAGCAATCCCTATTTCAATTTTTTATAAGAACTTTTTAATGGGCTGGTATATGATTATTTAAAAATATGCATTAAAAAGTTTGATTTATTTAGAAACTTTTTTATTTCTTTTATGCACTGAGAAAAAAATTTGATTGCATTAATTAGAATTCTGGTAGATTCAAAGTATGTCTATGGGAAAATGGACGAACCAGAATTCTTGTAGGAATTACCAGATGAATCTGATTAATTTCTTCCTGTTCAATTTATCAATCTTTTTGTTAATAATACTAAATTTACTTCAAAAATAGCATCTGTGTCTATGTTTAATTAATATAACAAAAAGTTTTATAGATCCAACTAGAAAATACTAAATCCTTCACTGAGAAAAAAATTTGGTTGCATTAATTAGAAATCTGATAGATTCAATCAGTATGTCTGTTGGAAAATGGACGAACTAGAATTCTTGTAAGAACTACCAGATAAATATGATTAATTTCTTCCTGTTAAATTTATCAAATTTTTTCGTTAATAATAGTAAACTTACCAGCACCAAATCATCTAAAATTTTTTCCATTTAATTTCAAAAATCTGTTTAATATTTTCAATTCCAACAAGATTATTAGATAAATTCAAGCCAGATTATTGAATAAATTATTTTAAATTCAGTTTGTTAGAAATTAAACTTATAAACTCAGTGCGGGATCTCTGAAAACTTTAGATTCGCGCGGGAAGAAATGTCAACACTTTAAGTTCATTCACTAGAAGAAGAAGGAAATCTGTTATTGTTGCAATGGAATTCTTTCTCGCAATTTTTCCTACGAAAAATTCCTCGATATCTGATTATTTTACCAAAGTTCGCGAATGACAAGCGTACGCGAGGAAGAAACGAACTCGCGATTCATTAATTTCATCCCGCGAAGATCGGGGGCCACGTCTTGCCAGCTCCGAGATTAAACAATTTTTCTCAGTGTGTTTTTCATAAAATCAGTAGTTTTCAAGAAAGAAAATCAAACACGTTATCATGCATGGTACGATGTTAAATAGCATAGGTCTTGAATTACGAGAAGTTAAATTTTAAAATAAAATTAGAATAAATGTTTGAAAAATTGGAACAAAAACAAAATTATAATAAAAACCTAAAGATCTAAAAAATAAAAACCTAACTTTTTACTCCTATTTTTGAAGGAGTGCAATTCTACAGAGAGGGATGTAGAAGTTTATATTTATATGAAAAACTCGCCTTAATTTTCGACAAAGAATCATCTTCTAAAATTTTTCGCAACACGCTGAGTTTCTTAATAAATGCGAAAATACATATAAGCTTAAGCACTATTATTGCAATTAAATCATTATAATAATAGGCGCTCGTAACAAAACGAAGCGACTAACAGTAAATGTTATTACACCTCTTTCTTTCTCTTTTAACCGGAGTACCGTTGACGCTTAAACTTCACTTTTCTAACAGTACTCGGGCCAGTGGTACGCATTTATAATAAATGCGAGAATATTCAATTTACGCGGGGAATATATAATATACGCGATTGTAATGACGTCGTTACGATCCCGTAGCGAGCGGTGTCGAGTCTCGATTACAATTATCGCTTTTACGCAATTATTGTTGACGAGTCTATTAATTTAATCCTTGATCTTTCACGCAGATTACGCATCCGGTGCGTGTCCCAGGGTATGTCCGCCGAGCGGCGAACCCGTTTGCGGCAGCGACGGTATCATATACGCGTCGCAGTGTGAAATGCGGAAGAAGATGTGCGGAAAAGGTAAGATATACTTTTAATTATAACAGTTGTATGCAGTACACCACACACGCACACATGAATACATCGTATACACGTGCTCCGGTTCGCTAGCCGTGAGATTATAATCTCTCTCTCTTTCCGAGAGACGTCTGTCGCGGACATGTATCGCACTGCAAGCGATTTCGTATCCCGTTTTGCAAATGAATCGACCGTAAAAGAATAGCGCGCGAGTCCATTAGTACACAGAAAAAAAATAAGTGTCGAATCAAAATTTATGTACTTAAACTAACGCGTTCATTGTTTCGTATATATGCAACAATTTATAATCTTCTTGGAAGAATTTAATAATTTTAAGTTTCAACAATATTATAGTCTTATTTTAATATTGTAATTGTCACTTCATGAATAATAATTATTTAATTCTACTTTAAGAAAATTATAATCTTTGATTAAAAATGTTATTTTCGATCTAACATTGTTAAATCAAAGATTATAATTTTCTTAAAGTAGAATTAAATAATTTTATATTCTTGAGGTGACAATTACAATATTAAAATAAGACTATAAAATTGTTGAAATTTAAAATGATTAAATTCTTCTAAGAAGGTTATAAATTGTTGCGTATATACGAAACAATGAACGCGTTAGTTTAAGTATATAAGTTTTGATTTGACACATTTTTTTGTGTGTATAAGCTTACGGGAAAATTGTAAAAATGTTATTTTCGATCTAACATTGTTTTGATCTAACATTGTTTTGATCTAACATTGTTTCTTTTCCATTCAAGAAAATTAAATCTTAAATCATAAAAATATATTTTTCTCGATTGAACTATATAAAATGACTTCATTCGAGTAAGCAATTATTCAAGCAATTACATTTTTCTTTAATTAACGCGATAAAATCTCATTTCAAGATTTCCATATTAAAACTAAATATATTTTCAAAACAAGAATGCTCTTTTTTCCCGTAAACTTATACACACAAAAAAATGTGTCAAATCAAAACTTATATACTTAAACTAACACGTTCATTGTTTCGTATATACGCAACAATTTATAACCTTCTTAGAAGAATTTAATCATTTTAAATTTCAACAATTTTATAGTCTTATTTTAATATTGTAATTGTCACCTCAAGAATATACAATTATTTCATTCTACTTTAAGAAAATTATAATGTTTGATTTAAAAATGTTATTTTCGATCTAACATTGTTTCTTTTCCAAGAAAATTAAATCTTAAATCATAAGAATATATTTTTCTCGATTGAACTATATAAAATGACTTCATTCAAGTAAGCAATTATTCAAGCAATTACATTTTTCTTTAATTAACGCGATAAAATCTCATTTCAAGATTTCCATATTAAAACTAAATATATTTTCAAAACAAGAATGCCCTTTTTTCCCATAAGCTTATACACACAAAAAAATGTGTCAAATCAAAACTTATATACTTAAACTAATGCGTTCATTGTTTCATATATACGCAACAATTTATAATCTTCTTACAAGAATTTAATAATTTTAAATTTCAACAATTTTATAGTCTTATTTTAATATTGTAATTGTCACCTCAAGAATATATAATTATTTAATTCTACTTTATGAAAATTATAATCTTTGATTTAAAAATGTTATTTTCGATCTAATGTTGTTTCTTTTCCATTCAAGAAAATGAAATCTTAAATCATAAAAATATATTTTTCTCGATTGAACTATATAAAATGACTTCATTCAAGTAAGCAATTATTCAAACAATTACATTTTTCTTTAATTAACGCGATAAAATCTCATTTCAAGATTTCCATATTAAAACTAAATATATTTTCAAAACAAGAATGCCCTTTTTTCCCGTAAGCTTATACACACAAAAAAATGTGTCAAATCAAAACTTATATACTTAAACTAATGCGTTCATTGTTTCATATATACGCAACAATTTATAATCTTCTTACAAGAATTTAATCATTTTAAATTTCAACAATTTTATAGTTTTATTTTAATATTGTAATTGTCACCTCAAGAATATACAATTATTTCATTCTACTTTAAGAAAATTATAATGTTTGATTTAAAAATGTTATTTTCGATCTAATGTTGTTTCTTTTCCATTCAAGAAAATGAAATCTTAAATCATAAAAATATATTTTTCTCGATTGAACTATATAAAATGACTTCATTCAAGTAAGCAATTATTCAAACAATTACATTTTTCTTTAATTAACGCGATAAAATCTCATTTCAAGATTTCCATATTAAAACTAAATATATTTTCAAAACAAGAATGCCCTTTTTTCCCATAAGCTTATACACACAAAAAAATGTGTCAAATCAAAACTTATATACTTAAACTAATGCGTTCATTGTTTCGTATATACGCAACAATTTATAATCTTCTTAGAAGAATTTAATAATTTTAAATTTCAACAATTTTATAGTCTTATTTTAATATTGTAATTGTCACCTCGAGAATATATAATTATTTAATTCTACTTTAAGAAAATTATAATCTTTGATTTAAAAATGTTATTTTCGATCTAATGTTGTTTCTTTTCCATTCAAGAAAATTAAATCTTAAATCATAAGAATATATTTTTCTCGATTAAATGAGCGAGCTTTTCAATTACAATCGCGGAAATAGCGCGACCTTCATTCGCCGATCTCGCGCGATAAAGAGTACGTATCATGTCGTATCCCCCTTTCCCCTCCTTCGCGATAGCAACGGTCAATGGTAACGAGGATCCGTTTCTTTCGCGCGAAATAGATGACGGCGATAAATTATGCATCCTTGCGCAAAACGAATCGCGATCTCCTAGAGCGTCGAAACGAACTATTTATGCGTTCGAGTAGCATCGGGTGATTTGTTCGTTCGCGAATCAACGAGAGGAAGAGAGAGAAAGAGAGAGAAAGAGAGAAAAAGAGAGAGAGAGAGAGAGAGAGATAGGGATCTTGTACACGCACACTTGCACATATCCGCGAGGATCTCGTTTCGCGCTTGATGACCGCGCGAAATCTATCTGCGTATCTCATTATTTTGCCGTCGCCGTGTCGCTCATTTAGGCGTAACCGTGGTCACGGACAAGACGGCTTGCCTGAGGTCATCCGGTAGCAAGTGCGAGCACCGCTGCCCAGGCGATCAGGATCCGGTGTGCGGCACCGATGGGCGTACCTACCTCAACAAGTGCATGCTCAGGGTGGAGATCTGCCGGGTTGGGATCGAGCTGTCTCACCTCGGGCCGTGTAACAATATTTCGGCCCACAGGGAGAACTGCCCGGTCTCGTGCGACTACGCGCCTCTCGACGGACCGGTTTGCGGAAGCGACGGAAACGTCTACAAGTCCACGTGTCAAATGAAGCTGCTCACTTGCGGGTGAGTCAAGAGTCGATTTTTTCGGGCTGAGTGATTTTTAAAATTTTTTAAAATTTTTTAAAATTCTCTTCCTCGCCCGCAAAATTAAATTCCCCTACTCGTATCTATTTTTTATGTTTTCCATGTTAAAATATTACCGATTCCTCACAAATCATAATTCAATAGACGGTGTTTTTACCGTTTTTACACTGAGAAAAATCGTTTGTGATATTTATTGTACAATTTTACATTACATATATATGTATATATATATATATATATATATATATATATATATTTATTACAATTTATATACATATATATATATATATATATATATATATATTATAATTTTATATGACAATTTTATATATGATATATATATATATATATATATATATATATATATATATGACAGTGACAGTACAATTTTTTCAAATGCTATATATATTTTTATATAGCTTTGGTTACAAACAAAATTATTACTGCAAACAACTGTAAACAAAATATTATCTTCTGTATTAAAAATTTAGATTGTTAAAACTAAAAAGTGCATAAATAGAAATTAAATGAATCTATACAAGCGAAGCAAAGTAGAAAATTTTAAACTCAAAATTTTAAAGCAAAAATTACGCATTTTTAATTTATTTTAAAAATTTTTTCATCGAGAAATACAAATCTCGAAATTTTTCTTTATTTAAAACCGATGACAAGTTCGAAGAAATACACTTACACTGAGAAAAATCGTTTGATTGTATCAACAAGACGTATATGATTGAAGGTATTTTGGTTAAATCAAACAAGAATTTCTAGTTATCATGATAAGGCTCGATTTTTTATAACTAGAACGTTTAATAGATTTTACTATAAGGACTTGGTTAGTATTTTCTGGTTGAATCTATAAAATTTCTTGTTGCATTAACTTCTTTACTTGCCGCTAGGCAAGCCATTCTGAACTTTCCTCGTATTAAATATTTGCTATGAAATGTATATAGAGAAACTAGTATTAACATTAAATCCAAAGTATATTTGTTTTTCTCTTACGAGCAGTAGTGCCAAAAAGAGGACGCTAGCTCTCTGATTGTGTGTCTTTGAGCTGCATCCTCTTCTTGCAACACTGTTTATCAGTTTAATTTCTGACAAACTGAACTTAAAATAATTTATTGAATAATCTCGATTAAATTTATGCAATAATCGTGTTGAAATTCAGAATATTAAACAGACTTTTGAGATTAGATGGAAAAAAATTTAGACGACTCGGTGCTGGTGAGTTTAGTATTATTAATCCGAAAATTTGATAAATTTAACAGGAAGAAATTAATCAGATTCATCTGGTAATTCCTACAAGAATTCCGATTCGTCCATTTTCCAACAGACATACTGATTGAATCTATCAAAAACTGAACTTAAAATAATTTATTGAATAATCTGGATTGAATTTATGCAATAATCGTGTTGGAATTCAGAATATTAAACAGACTTTTGAGATTAGATGGAAAAAAATTTAGACGATTCGGTGCTAATGAGTTTAGTATTATTAATCCAAAAATTTGATAAATTTAACAGGAAGAAATTAATCAGATTCATCTGGTAATTCCTACAAGAATTCCGATTCGTCCATTTTCCAACAGACATACTGATTGAATCTACGAAAAACTGAACTTAAAATAATTTAATGAAAATTCAGAATATTAAACAGACTTTTGAGATTAGATGGAAAAAAATTTTAGACGACTCGGTGCTGGTGAGTTTAGTATTATTAATCCAAAAATTTGATAAATTTAACAGGAAGAAATTAATCAGATTCATCTGGTAATTCCTACAAGAATTCTGATTCGTCCATTTTCCAACAGACATACTGATTGAATCTACCAGAAATTTAATTAATGCAACCAGATTTTTTTTTCAGTGCACTGTTTTCTAACAAACTGAATTTAATTTATTCAGTAATCTGGATTGAATTTATACAATAATCGTGTTGGAATTCAGAATATTAAACAGACTTTTGAGATTAGATGGAAAAAAATTTAGACGATTCGGTGCTAATAAGTTTAGTATTATTAATCCAAAAATTTGATAAATTTAACAGGAAGAAATTAATCAGATTCATCTGGTAATTCCTACAAGAATTCCGATTCGTCTATTTTCCAACAGACATACTGATTGAATCTACCAAAAACTGAACTTAAAATAATTTAATGAAAATTCAGAATATTAAACAGACTTTTGAGATTAGATGGAAAAAATTTTAGACGACTCGGTGCTGGTGAGTTTAGTATTATTAATCCAAAAATTTGATAAATTTAACAGGAAGAAATTAATCAGATTCATCTGGTAATTCCTACAAGAATTCTGATTCGTCCATTTTCCAACAGACATACTGATTGAATCTATCAAAAACTGAACTTAAAATAATTTATTGAATAATCTGGATTGAATTTATGCAATAATCGTGTTGGAATTCAGAATATTAAACAGACTTTTGAGATTAGATGGAAAAAAATTTAGACGATTCGGTGCTAATGAGTTTAGTATTATTAATCCAAAAATTTGATAAATTTAACAAGAAGAAATTAATCAGATTCATCTGATAATTCCTACAAGAATTCCGATTCGTCCATTTTCCAACAGACATACTGATTGAATCTACCAAAAACTGAACTTAAAATAATTTAATGAAAATTCAGAATATTAAACAGACTTTTGAGATTAGATGGAAAAAATTTTAGACGACTCGGTGCTGGTGAGTTTAGTATTATTAATCCAAAAATTTGATAAATTTAACAGAAGAAATTAATCAGATTCATCTGGTAATTCCTACAAGAATTCTGATTCCATTTTCCAACAGACATACTGATTGAATCTACCAGAAATTTAATTGATGCAACCAGATTTTTTTCTCAGTGTAATCTCGTAAAACGTAACTACCCTGCGGGAAGGAAGAGTTTATTCTAACATAAAGCTAGTCCCCGGCCGCAAAACGATTTTGACTTTTTCCCTTCACAGCCAAGGCGTCGTGCGTACGAATAAGAAGCACTGCCAGACCACAAGACATTGTCGTGAATCGTGCTGGCGTGGTGCCAAGCCTGCCTGCGGTAGCGACGGTATTTTGTACTCGAACACCTGCAAAATGCGGGCGAAGAACTGCGGGTAAGTCTGCGGATCCGACCAAGTACGACCGACCAAGATCGTCCCCGAGGGACTTTCTCTCTTGCAGAGATTTCGCGGGATCTCGTAATCCTACTTTACCCCGCGTTCCCTATTTTTTTCCTTCCACTTGATCATTCAAGAATCGCTTTTTTTCGTATACTCTTTGTGTTATAAGAGTGTATCTCCCCTTGTGTAATTTAAAGAACACTCGAGTTGCCCTTCGTTCCTCCCTCCACCGAGATTTCTCTCTAAATATTACATGCGATTTGATGCGGGATGTAAAGTCTGATATACGTGACTTAAAGTTTCTCGACATCCTGATTTTTCCTTCAACGAGTAGCTCGGAATTTTATAATCCTATTGTGACTTTTTACATCGAAATTTTATTAATTGGATCGCGAAACTCTCGTCAAGTTCTATGATGTTAATCGAAGCGTGCTTTCCAGGAAACACGTCTTCGAAGTTCCAATGTCATTCTGCATATCTCGGGAACGAACGTCCGGAAGCAACGCGTGTCCCTTGGATTGCAAAAACGAGGCGGAGGTATCGGTCTGCGGATCGGATGGGAACATATACAGGAACGAATGCGAGATGCAAATGCTAAACTGCGGGTGTGTATTCATCATCAGCGCTGCTTCTCCTGGATAAGTAAAAATTGCTCGTGCTTCCTTGTCACGAGTAATCGATCGCCGGTCACGAATCTTTAGCAAAGTATTAATAATCGACAGGCATGCAAGAAGGAAGATAACGGTAGTTGACTTCGAGAAGTGTCGGGCTCGGCTAACGAAATGCATGAAGCAACAGCTGAGATGCGGAAGCGAGGTGGATCCGGTTTGCGGTAGCGATGCGAATACCTATCCAAATCAGTGCCATTTGAACGTAGCGGTTTGTTTGTAAGTTGTCTTCATCTCTCAGGAATAATGACCAATTTGCTTTTCAAATATCAAGATACGATAATCCTTCCAACGTGATCGTTTATCGTTTTCGAACTCGTTGCGAACGTCCGATCAACCGTAGACCAGCTAACTCTTTTTCAATATTTGATGCGTTTTTAGAAAGGGTATCCAATTGGCTCACGTTGGGGAGTGCACGACCTTGAAGGAGACCGAACAGTGCCCCGAAGATTGCGCCCAAGTACCCGAGGAACCAGTTTGTGGAAGCGATGGCAACGTTTATCGGTGATTAAGAATGTTATTCGGATTCCAGAAAGTCCGTTCCACGATTTTAGGAGCGCGATCCACCACAAAGTGGCCGTTCATTAGAGACCGACAAAAGACTTTGGACCCTTTCCAAAACTTGCTCTTCATCAATTTAAATTTCAGAGTTGCTTTTTTTTTCAAATAAAACGATCGCAAAATCCATGATATTATACCTGGTTATATCGAATGCAATATTTTCTAAATATTTAAACGGGTTTGAGTGTAAAATTCTTTTAGAGATTAAATGCGACTCGAATATAATGAAAAAAAAAAAAGAAAAAATCGCGAAAGGATCAAACAGCGGCCAATCCCTCCAAGTTTACGCGTTCACTGGTGCGTCATCTCGTATGCATTTATAGGTCCCTTTGCCATCTGCGGCGGGAGACTTGCGGCCAGAGGGTGGTTCAAGTTCCGGCGCAACATTGTCGCACCACCGCGCTCTGCAACCAGATCTGCAGCGGGGAACGTCAGTTTGTTTGCGGCTCCGATAATAAGCTCTATCGCAACGAGTGCGAGATGAAGAGGGACAATTGCGGGTAAGCCGCCTGACCGCATTTCAAGCATTTTATTTGCACAATATACCGGAGTTTTTTGTTTGAGTAAAATTACAGCGAGCCCTTTTAAACAATTAAACCCCTGATTCTCGAGAAAATCTGATCACATTTTTTTTTATTAATAATATCTGCTCTAGCAACTTTCGAGCGAACGATAAATAATAGCAAATAAATGAAATCGTTAATAGTAAAAGATATAAAAAGACAAACAAAATATGTAGTCTCGAGAAAAAGATTGCATTTAAAACTCGTATTTCGTTTTGTAAAATATTTAGATTTATTTAAAATTCTATAGATTACGAATGAAATTGCAAAATAAGCATTTTAATTAAATTTTCTTTTCAATTATTGCCCCAATTGAATCTTTCATTATTAAGAAAAGCAATTAAATTGTCTCAATAATCGTATCTTAACTTCAAGCATACAACTTTTATTCCCATTTTATACAGCACAAAAAAATTCTACCGCAATATAAAAATTTGATTACTTTGCTAAAAGTAGCTCAGCTGAGAGGCTACTTATTAACATTCAAATTAAATTATTCCTATTTATTTAAAAAAAGTCTAGAGAGAGCGGCATGTTTCGTGTCGCGCGTGTAATTTCATTGACCGCAATAGTAGCTTTTTCTCCCATATGCATAATACTTTCCATGCATGGAAACTTTCATTACGTCGGAATACATTTCTGAAGAGGGGAAAAGATTGTCTAAGAAACTCCGAGAAATGATTAATTCGAGTTAATAGTATCGCGTGCGATGAAAGGCCGTTTATTCGATTCAGCTGGAGAACCGTTTCATTACTTTTTTTTTCTTTCTTTTTCACGAAAATAATAAACTATCGGTACGTGTACCAGCAGGATGTTCTCGTGCCCGTTCAAGTACGCGAGAGGAAAGTATCCTACTTCGCGAACGTCAATTGGACACAATCGCCGTGCAATTTCGAAAGTAGAAATTATCGACGCCTTCGCGCGGCCTATATCCTCAAAGGAGTCATTTTCTATTCTCGATTGCTTTCTAACACTCACCGAATGTCCATCGTACGTCAAATAAAGAAACTAATACTCGGAAATTATGAAAATATTCGGGACAATTCGCGACACGAGTACTGATCCAAATCGTTCAACTCACGAATCATGCAATTGCTCTTTAACGCGCGAAGCGAGTTTAAGCTCGAATTTAACCAATTAAGCTTAACTTTGGTCTTCCTCTTTCCTCCCCTTGATTTAATGTTAATTTAAAAAAATAAATGGAAATTTTAAAAATTTAATTTAATTTTTAATTTAAAAAATTTCCACCTCAAATAGCGAGGGAAAATAAGCAATTAATAAATAATTTCCATTTTAGGAAACACGTGTACGTGGTACCTATGAAGAGATGCGTCCAAGGCTTCCTGTTTCGCGGCTGTCAAAAGATCTGTCCGCCTTATTACGATCCCGTATGCGGCACCGATGGCATGACGTATAGCAACGAGTGCTTCCTGGAGATCGAGAATTGCCGTAGCAGGAGTCTCGTCACGAAAAAGTATCACGGAGTGTGCGGCCAGCCGACGGAGGAGCCGAAAAATTATCTCTATTAAAACAGATGGGGCTAGCACGATGCGAGAGAGAGAGAAAAAAAAAAAGAGAGAAAAAGCGAGGAAAAAAATCACTCGACGAGATAATTTCGCTCGTATTTTTTCCGAATTCGGAAGCGACAAATGCTGTACATGTTCATTTATCATGTGTCGTCTCCAAGTATTTAATAATCGTTCGACAAATTCCGATCGATCGAGATCTGTATCGATCATTCGAAACTCTAGACGCGCGACGCGATAGAGAAATAATTTACGTGAGCTCGGGTGACAGCCGATCCGAAACGCTAAATTTCTATGGCGGAAAATGCGTTTGAGGGAAAACGAGCATCTTGCCAGTCCGGATTGTTGTCGTATTGTTACTGCTGTTTCTATGATAATTAATATTCATCGCGATTGCCGATTCTCTCCCCTTCTCGGAAATAATTCACGCGGGCAAAATGCTTCGCAAATCGCGCTATTGTATCCCGGGTAGAACATGAAACTCATAATGACATCATTATGACGTACTAAAAGTTACCTAAAAATCACCTAAAAGTCATTTTAGAAAAATCATGATATCATAATGATCTCGTTTGATATACTTTGGACAATGTTTTGGTGACTTATTTTTGATATTAAACAATTCTAGCGAACTCTGTTGAAGAATATATATACTTCGTGTATGAAATCTTAAGAATCAATCATAATAATATCATTTTTTATATATATATTACGCAACTACTTGTTTATTTAATTATTCATGTATATTTTAATTATATTTAAGCAACATAATCTTTTTAAAATTATATAATGCGATTATTGAACTTAAAAATTTATCATTCTTTTTGTCATCTTTGACTCATTTTTTAATCATTTTTGTTTAGGTCACTTTTAAGCGATAAATAAAATCATGATGACGTCATAATGATGTCATTATGAGTTCATGTTCTACCTGGGATGTCAAAGTTGACGAAGAATTGTTTATAGATTATGTATCCTTTTTCAAAAATTATCGTCTAAATTTTTTAACCGGGAAAGCAAAGGGGATGTCGCCAATTACGATATAGTCCCTTCGATATACTTCGCATATACTTGACGCGATATAGACTCATTATTATTTATTGTAGCATTAATCATTAAGCATGTGCGTTCTTTAACGCGATTTTTCATTTTCTTTTTTTTTTCCACAACTACGCCCGTCGTCCTAATTATGGCTATTAATGTATCGACACGGTGTTGCTAGAGAGTATTCTTATTCTAGGGGAATATTATGCTATTACATCTTCTTCCGATATGTGTGATGTGTGTTCATTTATTATTATTACTATTAAACTACATCATTGCAATCTTAATTTATTATCGAGCATGCGAGAATCATTCTTTTGTATATCGACACTAACTCTGTATACGCTTCCAATGTCAATAATAAATCATATATGTATATTTTAAGATACAAAAGAAGAGCAGCTGTGTGTAAAAAATTATACACGCGTAACGATCAGAAATATGACACGTCGTTCATTTCTATTTTTCGCGAGGATTAAGAAAATCATTCGTTTCTATTTTGTTTTTGCGAAGATTAAAAAAATCTGAAAAAAAATCAGAACGCGCAATCTCATCTGATCCTTCAACGCGTGTGAATGTGTGTGCGATAAATAAATTTTACTTACCAACTGGGTACATCGGCGCTGTGATACATCAGCTGTTCCGGCGCCAACTTCGGACCGCTGCCTCTTGGACAATTCACTTTCTCCAGCACTCGCACTCGCGAACATCGGAAAAATACTGCCAACGAACGCGAATTAACGGAGTATTTAACTACTTGATTAACACATCGATCACCTTGTCTGATAATCCCGCTCACACTCGCACGCGCGATACACTTTAGAGAAGTGTGAAACACGAGAAACGCGCAGCACGACGTTATCACGACGTTGTCTCGATCTTGACTGAATATGGCCGACTGCTTCGTCGATAACGCGCAACTTCACGCGGGTAACGTATCGACGCGTCCCGTCACGTTTCAGATTAATATGTCTTTCGTTACGCAAGATATGCACGTGGGTACGATTAAAATTTGGAATAGATCAATTACATACGTGATATTTATTCTTAATTTGAGTAACACTTTTTAACGATGCTTCGCGGATTCCACAGAAATAAGAGGAATGCGTAGCACGATAGTATCACTTCGACCTTGCGCTGACGCGACGTTAAATATGACTGACAGCTTGGTCGGTGACGTGTCGCCGAGAGCTGCGACCTCGTGCGGATAACGTATCGACTATAGATAAATAGAATATGTGCCAGTGTCTCTCCCCCCCTCCACTCATCGCCTGAGGAGATTCGAAACACGTATGTATATACACAATATTTAGTCTCGCCAATTTATTTTATTCGTATGTTTAATATTCTTTACGGAATTAATTCAATTTGTCAAATTATCTTAACTGTCATCTAACTTTATTAGATGTCTGACTGAATTGAACTGTTACGTCACATGCTTATATAATTACAAACATAATTTATTCTTAATGACATGAAAGCATAAAGAAATTTAAATGTAATTGGATAAATGATTCTTATAATATCTTCTAATATGATTGTGTCCCTAATAATTTGACAGTATTAATCCCATCGATCATTTCGTTTCTTGAATATTTACGAAAATCGATCGCGATATCTCACAAACGTCCAAATAACCGTGCGTAACATATTTGTAAATGACTATGAAAATATAACTAAACTTCTTGACTTCCGTCAGGATTGATATCAGTTTCGGAATTTCGAGTTTGTTTTGTACTACGAGAATCGAATTTAACGCTATCAATCACTATGCGAATCATCGCTTCGAAGTGAAAATAGCGTCAAACAGGGCGCGTTAAATACAGAGAACGAGAGAATATATCACGTAAGTTTATCTCTAAATATTAAACAAACGCGTAGCAATATCTATTAAATAATTAATGCTAAAACTGATATAATTATTATTACATTACCACACAATGTATAACTTTCATAAGAATTATTTATCTCGTTCTTGAGCTCTTTTACCACTCGAGTTACGATAATCTTGAATCGTGAGAATAAATATTGTTTGTAAATCAACGTCAAATATGACGAGTGTCGAAAAGAGAGTATCGAGATATGTAAACACAACACGTCACATCGTACTTTAGCGAATTATAAACATAATCTCGAGTGTGAAAATTCAGTCCACTGCCGTCCTTGGATAGGATCGAACGTATATGAAACGCGTGTTACGTGTGTCTTTCGTCTGGACTTTATTTTTTGAATTTAATTCGCTCTTTTAAGAGGATATTTTTTAAATTTAAAATACGATAATTTAATTACGATCAAAATAAATATCAAATCGTTATATTGCATACCTCCCCAGGTAGAACATGAAACTCATAATGACATCATTATGACGTCACTTAAAAGTTATTTTAGAAAAATCATAATCTCCTTTGATATACTTTTGGTAACTTATTTTTGATATTAAACAATTCTAGCGAACTCTGTTGGAGAATATATATACTTCGCGTATGAAATCTGAAGAATCAATCACAATATCATTTTCATATATATTACGCAATTGCTTGTTTATTTAATTATTCATGTATATTTTAACTATATTTAAGCAACATAGTCTTTTTAAAATTATATAATGCGATTATCGAACTTAAAAATTTGATTCTTTCTGTCATCTTGGACTCACTTTTTAATCATTTTTGTTCAGGTAACTTTTACGATAATGATAAATAAAATCATGATGACGTCATGAGTTTCATTCTACCTGGGTCGTTGAAAATT